ACGCCACCCACAGGGCCGCGAGGGACACAGAGCATCTCCCTCAGCAGACGCCTCCCCAGGCGTGGCCTGGTGCTCTGGTGCGGAGGGTCTCAGATGGGGCCAAGCGGAGGCCGACTCCCCAAACAGCACCCGGGGACTGGCAAAGGGTTCCTGCCGCGTCTACGCTGCCAAGGAAGGGCACGGGTCACCTGTTATCATTTCAGAAACCTCTTGCCATTTCATCAATGGAGGCCACGTTTACCCCAGGAGATAGGAATCGGCTGCTCTGAACAAAGATTCACAGCAGGAGCGTTTCCTGAAAAGGATCACCCCCTGCCCCTGCCCCTGCCCCCGGGTGCCTCTCCCCTGGTCCTTTCCGCTCTCCCTTCGCTGTGGGCCCTGAGGACTCTGTCACGGGCAGGCACACACCCGGCACCGCTAACCTAGATGGAGCCATCGGGAGGTAAACCGCTAGGAACAGGTGAACGCGATAGCTTTGCCCTCCTTCATCCGGCTGCCTGTCTGCCTCGAGCTGATGTGCGGCTTCTGGGAGGAAGGGGTTCTTAGGAAGGGCGAACCTGGTCCACCGGTGATGGGTCACCCTGGACGCTGCCACCTTCTTACCTTCCCTGGAGCCCGGGGGCACATCCGGAGAGGTGCTGCGGGCGTGGGGACACTCGCCCCTCCGGAGCCTCTCTATCTCCTGGCTGCTGCTCTCCAGCCGCCTGGCCAGCTCCTCATTCTCTGCCCCCAGCCGCCTCTTCTCCTCCTCCAGCACCTCCTTGTCCCGGAGGAGGTTGTCGTAGGCCGTTTCCAGCTCCCGGGCTTGGCTTTCCAGCTGTTCTCGCTCCCTCATCAGGGCGTCCAGCTCCCTCGGCGGCCCCTCCGAGGGCCCAGCCGCCGGGGCCCCGGAAGGGAGCTGAGCCGGGCCTTGGTGCTCACCAGGTCGGCGCGCAGGCTGCTGCTGTCTCTCTGCAGGTCCTGGATGGCTGGCATGGCCTGGCCCTGCTCGGGGCAGCTGGACTCAGCGGGGCTGGCCACGCTGAAGGTGTACTGGCACCGGCCACTCCGG